CTTTCTTCACAAATGCAAAGAAGACAGGAAACTCATGGTTCCCACAAAGCAGCTTTGCTTCTTACTAGATGTGATAATTTTGATAGCAGGATCCCAGACATCAGGGCATGGATCAAGGAGCCAGACTAATAAGCTGCAAGGACTTCTGTCCACCATGGAAAGTGGGTCATCTGATCAGGGTCCAGTCTGCTCTTTGTCATCCTGGACCAAGCTGTGCAGCTTTTCCGTACTTAGTGCGAGTTCCTCAGCAGCAGATAGGAGATCTCAGCCTCCGCCTTCGTTCCACCACTGGGAGCTCCAAGATAGGGCTCTTGATCATTTGTCTCCAGCTGATCCCAGGAGACCCATCAGCTTATGCAACCACCTGATTGTCCCCTCTCATCCCTGCAGTGCCTGCAGTGTGGTGCAGATACCCCTGCCCTGGCCCGGGGACAGCCAGGACACCAGCAGCATCTCGCCAGCAGCATCTCGCTAGGTTTATCTGCTCTGTATAGCAATGGTGGTAGCTGCGGCAATCTGACAAATTCTTCAGCCTTTCCAAAGAGCACATTTTCTTGTGATGCTACCACAGTCCATTTGCTGGTATCCCTAAGTGCTGGATCGCTCTTTTAAATAAGGTCTTCAGACCCTGGACTTGTATAATTACATGCCCTAACCATAACTTCCAGCTCCTTATCTCTTTATACTACTATGTCAAACGATGCCACAAAACAGCAAATCAAAACTGCTCTGTGCCTGACCACCTGGTACCAGAAGAAAGCACATGCAGATAAGATATGCTCTGTTGTGATGAAGGTATTGCTGAGATTTATGGGTAGCATGTGAAGGGCTGAGCCCTTTATACCAAGGAAAGAAAAACAGATCCAAGATGAAGTAGTCAGGGCTGGATATTACTGTGGTATGGGGCCTGCCCAGTGGATCAGCTCTTTTTCTGACACACAATGGTGTGTCTTTGCAAAAATAGCCAGAATTACTTTCTCCGTGGTCACCTACTCACTACTTCAGAGAGAGAGAAGCTTATACATTCACAAGCAACAACTTTCCCAATATGGTGAAACAAAATCAGGAGGCTGGAAGTTTTCTTTAGGAAAAAAATTCCCCACAGTCTATCCAGATTGTCCCAAAATATATGTAAAATTTCGCTTAGAATTTGCAATAAGTCAACAGGCCCATCTGTTCCAGGGATTTTCCAGTTAGAGGAGCTCACCCCTTAGTGCTCTCCTTTGCTTCATGCCTTAGTTTCACTATGGGTAGACATGGCTAAATTGCTCCAGCAACATGTAAAACCATGGAGAGTGTTTAAAGACCTGATCATTAGGCACAGGAAAGAGAAAAGTTGGAGGAATGGGACCCAGTTAATTATGTCTATCATACATGGAAGAAGAAAAATGAAAATGTAAATTACTGAAATGAACATTAAGGTGAACCTTTGTTCAGGATTAGAACTAGGCAGTTGGGACCTAATTATACAATGCAATTTCTGAGTAAGCGGATCCTGCAGGATTAAATGCTGTGCAAAAATAAATCTGCTGCATAAAAAATAATATATGGGTTAGAACACAACGGATTTGGACTCCTAACAGAAAGGTATTCAGAGACTAATAGCAATGCTGGCTGTCATTTAAAGCCTATCCATTGAAAAGAAAAATAATAATAGATTAATAACATGAAACTGTATTGAACAGATGATGCCAGGAGTGGGAACAAGGAAATGTCACTGGTTACCTCTCCTGCAGGAGGGCTCTGGTGCCCATTATGGGCTGGCAGAGGGCAGATTCCCCATGAGGCTTGGGATCTGCAGCCCTGTCCCTACCCCACCTGTGCTGGAAGCTGAGGTGGGATGGTGCCAGGCCAGGTGGACGGAGGAGCAGCCGGTCCCTCCCTCTGTACAGCACTGGTACCTGTCCTCAGGAAGCTGAGGGCGGAGGTGCCTAGACTGGGCTGTGCTCCTGAGCACTCAGCCTGGCTCCGGTACAACTCACAGCAGCTCCCACCCAGCCAGGGCTTCCTCCTTCTGCCCCTGGACACCGAAACTTGGGATGGGAGAGACCGGCTGAGACTGGAAGTTTGAGGAGCAGTGGGCCTCCAATATGCTTCCCGTGGGGAAAACATGATGTTTACTTATTAGAACCCCAGTTGCCTCTTGTGAGTTTAAATCTAGTCTTGCTGTATTTCCATGTCTGCAGAAGGAGAAAGAAGGAGGCTAATCTTTTGTCAGCTCATTCCCAGGCTCTTAAGTCATGGGGTTAGAGCAGCAGTACCAGGCAGCCGACATTTCTGCAGCAGCAAAGATGAAAGTCAGACAAAATAATCCAAAGATGTGCTTAACTGTGACTGTTAAGTCCCAAAGGATTTATCAGAGTTTACTTTCCTCTGACTTCTAGGAGAGACTTCAGCTGAAGTCCATTAAACAAATTAAAAAGCAGAAGGAAAGTAAACACAGATTAATGGAGATAGAAATTTTATGAAGGAAAGGAAACAGTCAGACCTTGTGACAAAGCTCCTGGGCTGCTATTCAGTTTTTAAGGCCCCCAGACCTTATAAATGGAGGAGATTATTCTCTTCACGTTGCCCTGCTGGTAGTCGTAAAAGAGAGTTAATAGAATTTTTTTTCCCCCACTGAGAAGTTCTGTAGAAACTCTAGTAATAATATAATCCATAATGTTTCAGTTCAGTGCATGACATGCAGCTATTTGTTCCTTTGTTTCCAGGCAGGGAATCGAGCTGTAAATCCTGTAGCGACACAGATACTGCACTGGCTCTGTGGCATTTTAT